CCCCGCCCCCCGCCCCCCCGCCCGCCCGCTTTTTTCCCCCGGGGGCCCCGGGGGCGGCCCCCCCCCCCCCCCCGGGGGGGGGGGGGGGGGGGGGGCGGTTGAGTGTGACTTCTTCTCTGCCAGGGGCATCACCTGTGCCTTTCCCTGTGTTCATCTGACAGTGTGAACTTAGCGCCTCCATATTTGATATTAAACCACTCTCAGGTGACACTGATCCAGGTGGCTTTTGCCCCACCAGTGCCTCATCACTAGTGTGAGGTGAGTCCTCTCTGTTCTAAGAAAAGGATTTTTCTCCCTAACTCTGTGCCAACTGTCAACAACATCTACACAGTCTTATGGGTTTTAGGACTGTTGGCTATTTCCTAAATTGATTCCAAGTTCTTGTAAAGGCTTCCAGATTTCAGTCTGTGCTCATACGGGATGTATGATCTCAGTGGCTTTCTGGCCTCCTTCTGTGAGTTTAAAATCCACGAGAGATTGGTTCCCTTGTCATTACGAGGCACTCTCTCTGTGAGGGTATTCCACTCGTTCTGTGATCACGTGGGTGTCCTGGTATCCTTAATGGCCTTCATTCTCGGTTGTGAAATTTTATTTCATATGCTCACCACCCTCTACGAATCTGCACACTTGGGGTTGTGGTGCTTGTGGATCTATTTTTTGCCCGTCTGGTCTCCAGTTGGTGGAATTGCCTTCTTTGTACTGCCACTTCTCAGCATCTCTGAAATCTGACATAATGTTGCGTCATTCCAGTTTTTTGTTGTTTTTTTTTTTTTTTTAGTTCTGTAACTTGTTGATTGTATTTAACTATGTGAGTTCTGTTGTGATGTTTGCTGTATTGTAAAGCACCTCCATCGTGTGGTGGATGCTGTGTAAATCAATAAATGATCACTTAGAGGCTGTATCACGAGCTATTTTGGTTTTAGGATGCAGGTCTCAAAAGCAAGTTGTGGGATTCTTTCGAAACAGCACATGATACCAAAAGGTCCACAAGGGAATCTTGATAAAGAACTTTTAAAACTTCATTTAAAGAAGGAACCAGAGGGTGGGAAGTTGACTTCTGACCTGCTACAGTGGTCTTAAGATTTCCAGTACGGGGCCAAGCAGCATCCTTCACCAGTCAGGTACCTGCTGATGAAGGGCCTTGAATGAAATGAGCATGTGTTAGCGTGTTTCGGGGACTTTGTCTTTAGCCTGAAGCGGTTCTACCACAGACATAAGCTAGAAGGCGGGGAACCCAGACCTGAGCGTGAACCAGAAGAGCCCACGGGCACCACCTCAAGCCCACCACCTTCCCTCCTCCACACGGATGGGCGAACGTGGCCCCAAGTAGCACCAGGCTCACTTAGCAAGTTAGCGTAAAAGGGGCAAGACCGAGCACTTTTTCCCGCCCTTAAAAGGGTGTCCCTGTCTACCTTTCTACCCTGTGCCCTCACGTGGAGTTCACGTGGATTTACAGTGTGAGGTAGTGTTTGTGTTGATAAATGCTGCCGGTGGCCGCCAAGGCCACCTCCTTGCGACCTGAGAAAAGAACAAGAAGCCAGATCTCTTAATGAGAGCTGAGTTAGAAACAAGAAGAAAATCCTCCTTGAAAGCAGTGCGGGGAAGGTTCGGGGTCATTTTCAGAGTTTAATTTTAACTGATAAAAATTTTTTCTGGAGGACCGGAAGCCCCAACAGGGTTCAGTTTGCAGAGCAAATTATTTCCAGGATAAGCTACTTTTGGTTTTGCTCCGTTTCAGATGTGTGTAACCTGACTGCCAAGGTAGGGGTAACTTTTTTCTTTTTTGGTCTCCTTTAGTCTGCATGCCCCACTGAGCCATAGTGACATGATGAAAGAATTCCGCTTCCTGTTCACACAGGTGGAACAAATCAGGAGAAGGAAGAAGCTTTCACAAAAGGCAGCAGACACAGCTTAGACCTAGGAGCTGCTCAGAGAATCCTAGGCAAGACCCTTGATATTTCCCCCTTGCCAGCAGCATCCATTAGGAGGGAGCATGAGAGCGCTCCGTGTGCCCAGCAACACCTCGTTTGTTCCCAAGGAGCACCAGAAACCGTATTCCTACTGGTGGAGCTTGCACTTTATGGCAGGCTGGTGCAAGGCGCATTCTCACAAGGGTCCTCCAAAGTAGTAGTTTCTCATGAGAAAAACTGGTTCGGATCAGCGTGGCAAGACTGCAGAGCGAGTACGTTTCCGGCGAGGATTCGGTTCCAGGGCCTTGCTTCCTCGCTTCTGTGCTGGGTGCTGCTCCCTCCCTAGCAGGTGGTTCTTCCTTCCCAAGGTCACCCAGGGGCGCACGTATTGAGGCCCGTAGTGGAACCTATTCGCTGGCCCACGGGTCCAGTGGTTCCCTCCCTTCCCCTCTCTACCAGGACCTGGCACCTCCTCCCCGGGAAGAGCCTGTGCCCTTGTGCCCTAGGCGGTCTGTGGTGACCCTTCTCGCACCTCGTGTTCCCCGTCCCGGACAGCTCCATGCCGAGTTCCTCCTTATCTGAGCAAAACCCGAGTCACATCTAAAGTGAACCATGTTCAGGCGCTCAGACATCTTGCCTGACCTTGCGAGCTGCCGGGAATCCTGTTGGCTGCTGGAGTTGTCTGATGCTTTGTTTCACAGGCTCTGTAGCTCAGGGGTTTCCAGCCAGTAGGAGTCCCCTTGGAAGACAAGGGCCCAGATCAGGTCAGAGATGGAGTCCTGGTACCAGCATCTCTAGGAGGAGGGCTCTCACCTCTGAGAGAAGGCTTGGTGAGGGCAGGTCATGGTCACGACAAGGAGGCAGACAAGCCCTTGAGTTGACTAGGCCCCTCAGGGGAGCTTTCATTAGCTGCAGGCATCTAGTCCAAGCAGGCGGGAAGGGCACAGATTTGTTTCTTCCTGCATGTGTGCTGCTCTCCCTGGTTTCCATCACGTTCTCAGGGGTTCGTGACCCTCCGGATGTCCTGTCCCCCTGTAGAAACTGCTGTAGGACCTGAGAGGGCAGCTTGCAGGGTCCTGCCCTGATCAACACAGCAGGTCAGTTTGCAGAGCCTGATGTGAACCCCGTCCCCCTGACTGCTGGTGTAGCTCGTGGCGGGAACGACTCCTCAGACATACCGAGCACCTGCTGCGTGTCACATGCCAGCGTGTTGCTGGTGGGACAAAGACACGTGGTCTGATGTAAAAGCAGGCACCGGCTGTGGCAGAGTCCCCAAGCACTTTTAGGTCATCGGTAGGGCACTCAAAGCAGACGAGCTTGGCAGGCCACACTCATAACCTGCCGTGCGGCACCTCTAAACCACTGTTGACAGACTAGGAGGCTCTGAGCCATGGCAGCTCAGTAGCCTGGCAAATTCTCCCCTGCCCGCGTGCCCACCCCAGCTGGACATCATGTCCCTGAGCACACCACTGCCCTGACACATTCGCCCTCTCCCCTTCCATCCCCTGGGGACCTCAGCCAGAACTCCTCCCCCTTCCTCAGAACCCGAACCCTGGGACGGTGTGGACTCCACATTGCTCCTCTGCCAACCTACAGATGCTAACCCTCCGTAGCACTCAGGCTTCTCCCCCTTCGGACGCTCCCCCTCTGCTGTTCTGACCCCTCCTCTAACCCACGCTTCTTCCTCAGCTCTTGTCCCCGGTCACCACTTCCCCTGCAGTCCTGGATGCTTCTAGGAATGGGGACCATCAGCCTTCCTTGGATTCTCCTCTGTATGACAGTCTGTTTAGAAGGGTCTCCTGCTGTCTGCTTGCCATA